TTTTGGCTTTTTAATACAGATGTAACTAAAGAGGTTTGTAGCTATATTAAGGAAATATATGTTTCTAAGAATTATGAAACATTCGCCAAAGAGCCTCTATTTCTAGAGGTTATAAAGTTATTCACAAATTTGAGTTCTGATTGTCACTGAAATTAAGGTTTCTAAGGGTTACACAAATCTGGCTTTTGGTTATCACTAAAATTAAGTTTTCTAAGGGTTAAAAACTCAGAATTAAAAAAATAATTTGCTTTTCATGTATTAAGCTGGCTAAAATTAAATTGATATATTATTAGGGGTCTTTAATTAGCTTTAATGTCAAAAGTGTACCATACGCAAAGTCAAAACTTAATGTTATCTCCTATATTACTGGATGCTTTGAATGAGGAATTTTTTTTTTAATATATCTTTATTGATTTCAGAGAGAGGAAGGGAGAGGTAGAGAGACAGAAACAGCAATGATGAGAGAGAGTCATTGATCGGCTGCCTCCTGCACGCCCCCAACTGGGGATCGAACCCGCAACCCAGGCATGTGCCCTGACCGGGAATCGAACCCTATCTCCTGGACCCTAGGTCAATGCTCAACTGCTGAGCCATGCCCAGCCGGGCTGAAGGAGGAATTACAAAAGAAGAAAAGGTAAACCCCTCATCATCAGGTCTTTAACTGCTTAAGTACACTGCATCTTCTTCATATTGGAAAAACTACAATTTTCTTTTAACAACACTTTGACATCCCGTATTTGCCGGCAAAATCTTTATCACCTTGATTAAGTGAATAAGTTTTAAAGTATTGTTATCTATGATTTTATTTGGAAAATGTTTCAATACTTTTGATATGTTTGACAAACTTCCCAAGATTCAAAATTTAAGGAGAGCCATTTTCTTGACCTTTGATATTTTTAAGAACTTAGGAGTTTTTCAGAAGGATCTCTGAAATACCTCAAAGATTTGTTTTCTCTCTTGATAAAAGGGGGGAATTAAAATACTTAGGCCTATCTGGTAAGTTAAATTACAGGAAACACTATCAAATAAGTGATGGTAAACCTTTGATTATATTTAGAATAATAGGTTATATGCTTTTGGTAGAAGAGGGTATAGGAAATAGAGATACACTCTTGCTGAAGGAAAGGAGAATGTCTTTAGATAAGGAATAGTATAAAGGACATGGGTCTTACTGGCAAAGAAAGAAAAAGGAAAATAATTTTGTCCCAGGATAAAGTGATTGTTTCATAATGAGGAGAGAAAAGATAGGGCAAAAGTAGAAAGACATATGTAAGCTACGGAAGGGCCGTGCGTATTGCAAAAGGTGTACATACACTGCAGAAGGTTCACAGAGGAGAGATCCTAAGATGTATGTATATGGACTCTAACCATGGCCATTTTTAAGTCTTGCCATTTACAGACAATTATTGTTTTACACTGATGCTTTTACAAAAATGTTTGTACAAAGATGTTTCATCTTCAGAGATATTCATGGAGAAAACTCTAAAATGTAAAACTTCAGGTACTCTTAACTAATCCATGCGTGACTAAATTTAAAGGTATTAATTCCTGGATGTTTACTGCCTGGTGATGTCAGTGCCAACAAAGGTACCAGATTTAGCACAAGCCAAATGATTAAACACAGTACCCACTAACACCTCATGGTTACTTAATATCTTCAGCTGACTGCCCTCAGGTATTGCCTCTTGATTCGGATCCATTCTTCAAACTAAACTTAATTTTGTCATTATAAAAATTTTTGCTATTAGAAATCTTTGTTTATTTTGCATAGCTCGATGTTACAAAGACACCCCTCTGATAAATGCTGCTCAGTGTTTTAAAATGATCACTACTAGAGCCTATAAAATTTTCATATAAGAAACTACAGATGTTTAAGAATGCCTTTCCTTGGACAGGTATTACAATGACCGCCACAGCAGTACTAGACAAGAGAATTGCTCTTGAAAACATTCTAGCTAAGCAAGGTGGGATTTGCTCTGTTGTTAATACCTCTTGTACTTGGATAAAACACCTCTGATAAAATAGTTAGAACTAAATATAATCCAGGCCCTGTCCTTAAAGAAACACGACCACAAAGCCTTCATGTGTTCTGGTGTTCTTGTTGCTCAAATGTGGCCTAAGGCTCCTAAGGAAAGAACAAACTACTTTCTGTCCTACATGGGACATGAGAGGGTGAGAATGGGCCCTCCTGGCCTTAGGGACTGACAATGCCATGAAAAATCCAAAATGAGCCACCTGATAGTAGAGGACCAATGATGTTTTTAATAAGTGATCAGGGTTGGTTTCTGATAATTGATCAGGAATGTTTTCAAGGAAAGATCTTGATCAAAAGAGAGAAAATGGAGCCAGAGCTGTCATACCAGAAGAAGTGTCTTACATGTAATGTTAAAAAGAGGAACAGGACTTATAATTGCTGGAGTGGTTTTGATAGTGGAGACAATTTGGGGGTTGGCAGGAGGAACTCAGTAAAAGTGACCCTCCACAACATAACTTGGTTTCTCCTGTTCCTAGGAACCCTTACTCCTAATATCTGTGAGCCAATTAGGAAAGGTAACTGAAAACTTGAATAAAAATGCTAATCTGATTTTGCCTACACCAACAGATACTAAGCTGCACCTACATAACCCAGGGAACTGGGTATATTTAAAAACCTGGAACTCAGGATCCTCGAAAGATCAACTGAACCCAATATGAACAGGTCCTCATTCGGTGTTACTAACAAGTCATTCTTCTCTTAAACTACAAAACAAAGCTTCCCGGATACATCACTCTTGAGTGAAACCTGCTATTTTTACCCTGTGGGGACAAGAAACCAGATACACAGTACTCCTGTGAACCCCCGTCTGACCTCAACTTGCTACAAGGTAAGTGATGTCCAGTAAGTCTGCTCTTACTCCTAATAGTTTTTTCTACATTCTGTCTCTTTATGTACTCCTGTTCAGAACCTACAGATTCAATAGTCAAGCAGCCAGGAAATTTCACTCTTCTAACGGAAAGAGCTCCTCCGCCCACGTTCAGCGGGAAGCAGTTACAGAAGTATGACAACTCATCCCCAGTCCCTCAAGAATAAGGAGTACAAAAATCCCAGGGGGAATTCTCAGGTAGGACAAGCATCTCAAGGTCAGGGTGGTTCTTACTAAAAGATATTCTTGCTAAATGTTAAAACAGAGCACAGTATTTTGCAGATGCAGCTGTAACTGATGAGTCTGACAAGAACCCAACCTGACCTGATGCGAAGAAGAAGTCAACATGTAATTTTCCAAATCTGCATACAAGCAATGGCTAAGCCTCCCTTCCAGGAGACAGAGCTTTGGATGTGAATCCTGTTCTCTTTGCATGCTGCAAGTAAATAAAAGTACCCAATGACAACTACTTCTCGTTCTTTATTTAATGTTTTGGGTTTTTTTATATTGATTTCAGAGAGAGGGAGGGAGAAGGAGAGGGAGAGATAGAAACATCAATGATGAGAGAGAAGCATTGATCGGCTGCCTCCTGCAGGCCACCTACTGTGGATCGAGCCTGCAACCCAGGCATGTGCCCTGACCAGGAATCGAACAGTGACCTTCAGGTTCATGGGCTGAATGCTCAACCACTGAACCACACCGGCTTGGCTACTTCTTGTTTTTGAACACCCCAGGGGAGAATCCCTTGAGTTCAGTAACAGAAAGACAGACTTTTAAGAAGGCCAAAGTGGCTGATGGGCAGAGAGCAAGGAGAGTGTCATGTCCAATGAGGCTGTAGAAACAAGTAGGGTCCAGACCATGGAAGCCATGTGAAGTTCTGTCTTTATCCTAAGAGCAACAGAAAGTCATGAAAGATTTTTAAACAGGTGGTTGGCAGAGGAGGGAGGGAGGAAATGAACATGATTAGATTTGCAGTTTTAAAAGATCACACTCCACACTGTAGAGAAGAGACTGGTTGTGTGGGAGGAGGAGGGTAAGGGGTCTAAGGAGAGTTGGGGTATAGAGTGAGTGTAGACCAGTGAGGAGGCTATTGTAACAATCCGTTAGAGAGGGTGGTAGCTTGGGCCAAGGTGGAGACGGAAAAAAAAGTGGGCGGATTACCAACATTCTTAGACAAATAAATAGGACTTGATTCTGGGACTGAGAGAAAGGAAAACACTCAATCCTTCTGGAACTCAAGTCTTCAGCTGTAAAACAGGACTGTTGATACTCCCTCCATCTGCATAAATATCTATCTTGCAATCTGCTGCGGTAAGAATAGGGGCTAATATAAATATTACGAACTTAATGCAAGCCTGATATGTAGTAAACGTTAATTTTTAAATTGCTGTTGCCTGGCCAGGGGTGCTCAGCGGTTGAGCATCAACCTAGGATCCAGGAGATCGGGGTTCGATTCCCTGTCAGGGCATATGCCCGGGTTGCGGGCCAGGCAGCCGATCAATGACTCTCTCATCATTGATGTTTCTCTCTCTCTCCCCCTCCTTTCCTCTCTCTGAAATCAATAAAGATATGTTTAAAAATAATAATAAAATAACATTGCTGTTGCTATTATTATTTTCAACCCATGGAATGGCAACTACGAGAGGCCGAAGCCCAAAAGTAGGTAACAGGATTGTCGTTAAATTCTCATACCTACTGTGCTGAAGAAGCGGGCCACTGAGACAACTGTTGCAAATAAACACACCTGACCTCGCTCCTCAGAAATCATTACCGAAGAGAACGCACAGCTGGGGTGGTCGCAGTCGTCTGAGAGCCCGGGAAACTGAGGCCCCAGGTGAGCTACGGGTCCGCCCAGGGAATGCGGTGCAGCACAGGTAAGTGGATGCCTTCCATCGCGAGCCGACCGACGGGACGGGGCCTGCCTCCCGAGCCGCACGAACCGACAGCCCCCAGCGTCTCCAGCTGCGGGGCTGACAAGGCCCTTTCCTCGCCTGGGCTTCAGACCGCGCTCCGCTCGCCGTCCAGCCGAGTCCTCCGGTTCCCTGCCCACAGCTACACGCGCACGAGCGGCCCCACGCGCGGGAGGGCCCCACCTACCTTAGCTTCGCGCTCTCGCTCCTCAGCACTCGGGGTCCGCTTCATGCTGCCGCCACAACCTTCTTCGCCACCGCCAGAATTGTAGATTCCCTCGCTCGGGTCCCCGCCTCCGGCATGTAGTTCTCTCGGCATCCTGCCCCGGTCCACCGCCGTTCTAGCCCCGAGCCGCGAGAACTACCACTCCCAGGATGCACAGCGGGCACCCGAGCGCCCCTCGGGGTTTAGAGCACTAGACTTTTCCCAGGTCGGACAGCTGGGCACGCGTAGACCGCGACGCGGCCAGCAAGCGGGTTAGGGACCCAGGAAAACTACATTTCCCAGGAGGCAACGGGGCCGGCCATGTTTTCCCATGCTGCTCTCGGCCGGCGGCGCGACACGCCGTCGGCGCTATAGCAACGGTTAGCTAAACCGCGGGGAGAGAGTGGCGGTGAGTACTCCAGGGGAGGAGAGGGCGTTGGAGGTGGTCGGCCCCCTGCCTGCAGCGCCCGCCGGGTCCCGGGGCCTTGCTCTACGGCCTGGAGAAGGCCCCGGGGTTCCGCTCGCGTGAGAAGTAGCCCGGCACGAGACACCCCACGTCGTCAGGCCTGAACCACAGCCCGCCCATGACCCCCACGCCCAGCCCCGGTTTGAAAATTTATATCCCAGACCTAACCCCTCGCTGGTGACAGCGGATAGAAATTGCAGCGCGTATCCAAGCCCTTCGTCAAGCAGGCTGCGTGAACCCAGCCGGCTTGTTTGCCCGGGGCTCGGAGTTGGTTAGCACACCCTGCAGCCTCCCGAGTGGCCTGTTGTTTAATTATTCATAACGGTCTGTTCATCGTCTTATTTCCCCCAGAGCCTCTGAGCTGCATAAAGGCCGGGACTTGGTTTACCATTTTAGTCTCGGGGCCAGGTATTCATTTATTCATTCACTCTCTAAGTGTTAATGCTGGTGCCCGCCGTGTGCCAGGCTCCGTACTGGACCAGCTGCGACCAGGACAGATGCCCGTCTCAGGACACTCGCTCCTACCCCCGTTAGTGTAGACGAGCGAGGAAAACGAATAAAATCATTTCAGATGAGAGATGACGGCTATAACAGAAATAAACAGCGATGAGGTTGCGAGGAAGAGCCCCCTTCACAGGATGGTCAGGGAAGTGACTTTGGAGCTGAGCCCCAGAGAGTGAGGAGCCAGCAAAGGCCTTGAGCAAGGACGGGGAGCCCTGGGGTGGAGGAGCCTCGGGGACAGCAGTGAGGGGAGCACAATGAGCAAGGGGGGACGGCTGGAGGTGGCGGTGGAGAGGCCTCGCAGCATTGCACAGGGTTGCTCAACCTCAGTAACGTGTGGGGCCAGGTAACTGTGATTCCTGTGCACGGAAGGGTGTTCAGCATCACCTGTGACCTCTAGATGCCGGTAACACTCCCCCTTCCCAGTAGTGATAATAAACAATTTTCAAGAAAGACTGAACAGCTACTTCTTAGATGTGTGACATGGGGCAAGTTACCTAAGCTGTGTCCCCGTTTCTTCATTTGTAAAGTAGGAATCATTTGAGTAACAACCTCACAGGGATATTTGGAGATATTTAATTAATTCATATAAGCAGAGCCCTTTAGAAGAGTGTCTGGCACGTTTTAGTAAGCACTCAATAAATGTTAACACCATCATCGTCATCATTGTTATTGTCTTTAAAGCTACCAAATCTCTATCACAGAAAAGTTACCCTTTTTACAAGCGTCCTGTGTTGAAACTTCTTGATAATTTGGTTCCTAAGACTGACCTGTTCTGTAGCACTGTTTGCAAAGGAACTAGATGACCGCCCAGGCATATGTCTGTCAGCTGTTTATGGCACAGCAAAATGCAGTGGTTCTCAACCGTTGATCAGTTATTATGAAAGTTGTGAACCCTCTCTTTAAGATATTGTGTATACACAGAAACACAGAAAGTTTTATAAACCACCTCTGGGTCCACAGACACTGAAGCTCCATGAACACCATTCATTCATTCCAGCTATTTAGTGAATGTCCACCATGTGTCCAGCTCTGTGCCAGCCTCTGAAAATACAGAGATGAACAAGACCTTGCTACTTTCTTGCACTTTGCATTCTAAGACCAACATTTTAGAGATTGACAACCTCTGCCTTAGAGCATCTGCATTGACAATTCTCGTTTGGTTTTCAGGGTAGATTGAAATGAAAATATAATTTATTTATTTTTTTTAGCACGCTAGACATTGTATGGACCACTCACATCCACATACAAAACTAAGCCACTGTGGTGTATCTCTGTAAAAAATAGAAACTCTAAAAATGCCAGAATTAGCTGGACAGCCTGTATGTTGAAGGAGGAAGCCCTGGGACCTAGGCCTCATGGCAACAAAGACAGAACACAACAAAAACCAACCCACTGGGTGAATTTATGAAACCTCTTTTGCAAAACTTGGAACTACCTGCTCATTTGACATCAAACTGAAAATTAATATTCAAGTAATTTTTCATCCCAGGCAAATGTGCTAAATGCTTTTAATTTACTGTCTCACTTGCCCTTAGCATAACTCTGTGAGATAGGTATTATTTTTTCCATTTTTAAATTAAGGAACTGAAACTCAGCAAGATTGGGTGACTTGACCAGCTACTAAGTAATAGAACAACCATTTGAATGAAGTTTCTGACTTGAGTTTTTGCTTTTGGGGACAGGGAAGGGGGTGGGGGATGGAAAGAGGTGTTTCTAAATTTAGGGGAGTTTGTTGTATTTCAGATAGAGGAATAAGAAGAAGAGAGAAGGAAGAATGATAATCTTACCTCATTTCCTAAGCAAACTACAGGAAATATACTGTTGAAAGGAACACTGTCTCCATGATTCAATGTAGTATTACTTTTAAAATAGAAGCTTTCATCTTCTTCAAGCTGCACATGTGGGCAATAAGATGTCCATTAAAGTTCTAGTGCCTTATTCATTTTATTTGGTTCATTCCATTGCATAGTTAATGTTATAACTTGGAAAGATTTTATTTGAATTTTCTTTTCTCCACAGATAGGCCATGTCTGGTCCAACTGATGAGACTGCAGGAGACCTGCCTGTGAAAGATATAGGTCTAAACCTCTTTGGAGTAGGAGGGTTACAAGGTATGGCCAGCTGTTATTTATTACAGTTATGAACTTTGATCAGTAACTTCTTTACTTTTAATTTAAAGTATTTTTGATATTTATACAAAGGAAGCCATTTAAGTAACTATATAGCTCTTGATTGGACTAAACAAGAGGATGGAGTGTTTAGAACAACATATGGTATTTTACTGCATGCATCAATTATCAACAGCTCATAGAAAACGTAAAATCCCCCTCTGTTCTGATAAAGAATTGTTATAAATCATCTTTTTAAAATTCCACACATCAGTAGAAACTACAGAGTATCAAGCCTCCAACCCGGATTGCCTGGCTTAAATCACACTCGCCATTAAAATGTTTCTTTATGTTTAAATTTTATATGGGAGGAAATGCCATATTTAAAATTTTTTGTCTTTCAAGTAGATTATCTCAAAATGGTTTGTTTATCCAAGTGATATTGACTTTGATTTATCAAATTAATATACATTAAAGGTTTTCTTTATCCTTTTATATCTTAGGGGTTGCTACAGAGCTAAAAAGCACTTTCAAATTAAGAAAGGAAAGCACAGCTTTAAGGAACAACTGAGAGTGTTGGGCTCTGGTTTTCTCTGTGCGTGCAGTGTGCAGTCACGCCACTGCATTTGTCACTGAGAAGGCTGTAACGAAAATGTATTCCTCAAAGGCATGTTCATACACCTGGTAATGAGAAGAGTGCCAGTGGTCACCTTGAACTACCACAGAAAGGTGGTCAATGCATTGTTCATTGAAAAAGATAGATTTGATTATACAGCTTTTATTGTTCAAAGCAAAAAATGTGTATAAGCTTTGCTTTAGATTTTTGGCAGTGTCAGGGATTCAAATACAAATAAATTTTAAGTGTGCAAAGCTCTTTATTGGGATTTGATACCCTAAGTTCAATTCTTGCCCTCAGATACCCACCAGAGGGCTTTAATCTTTGTCCATTTGTTCTTTGTTTCTTTTGGAGGATTGCTGAAAATCGACTGACCTCACAGTGATATGGAAAGTACCAAACTTAAGCATATGTAAAAAAATCATATACACATGCTAAAAGGTATAAAAGTTCTTTAAAAATATTTAAGATAGATTATAAATAATTTGTGAAGGATTTTTTTTTGTTTGGTCTTACAAATTTTATAGTTTCTTTCCTATAACCCAACACTCATGGCTCAGAAAAATATCTTGATCATGTTACAATCACTAGATTATTGTTATGACTCTTTGTAAAAAAAAATACTTTTAATTTAGTTTTTTCAGCATTCAGCATATAAATCGAAAAGCTTTTATTGAATCAAAGTTCCAGCCTACATCTTAAAGAATGGTTATTTGAATACAGTTTTGAGTGGATACTGTTATTGTCCAGATCCTTTAATATTGCATATAAAGTATTAATAGCAAAGGTTTTTATTCTCACCTCCAGTCGGTGATGTGAACAATGCTATAGTATTTTCTAAAGCAATCTTAATTGTAGGGCACAAAGGAAAAAACCTGAGATGAGTGCATCAGATTTCGTATTAATATCGACAGGTATCGTTTATGGAGACTAGTTTAAGTAATCCCACTATTAACGACCTTGGCGTTTTTGCAGAACCTTCAACCCCACGGATGATGAAGTCTCACCAGGCTGTGTCACGAGTCAGTCGAGAGGAACTGGAAGACAGATTTTTGCGTTTGCACGATGAGCACATTTTGCTCAAACAGCACGCCCGCAAGCAAGAGGATAATATTAAAAGGTTAGGGCCAAACGCTTTGAGCCTTTCCCCGCTCGGTAAAGTTTAGAGGATTTGCTTTCGTGTAAACTTAATTGCAAACTCCACCTTGAATCCTTTTTGTAGCTAGGCAGGTTGTAAACAAATACAATTTTTTAAAAATGGAAACTCTTACAAACTAGAATAATAAAACCATTATGCATGTTTATTATGCCTGAAGTTGCTGTTCGAAAGGAAGAGCTGTTAGCTAAGAGTGCCACGCGTGTGTCATGTCTATAAATAAC